GAAAATGAAAGTATATCTGCATCTACCTCGATCCACAGATTCATTTACTCTGAAGGCACATATTTGTATGTAATTTATATTTGGATTTTTTTTCCTTTTAAAACTTACTTTAACGTAAGGGAAGACCATATAGGGGCCTCATATGAAAATTTTAATCACAAAAATCCCATAAAATCCAAAATTAATTCTAAAGTCTCGTGAGTTTTAATTACAAATAAGTTAGTGTAAGTGGGATTTAGATTTGCTAGGATTTTTTTGAATTTTATTTCGTTTGCATTATTGGAGTTTGATTAAGGTTTATTTAAAGTTAGTAAACGGGCGGGCCTAGCCCATATGGGCTCGGCCCTTATGGGCCTAGGCCCTAAAGCCCAATCACCCCAATTTTATATTAAAATTGAAGCCTTCCCCTTATTCATAGGGCTTAGGGCCGGGTCCGTAAGCTCGGATAAAAATAAAATAAAATTAAATTAAATTAAACATTAAAATTTATTTAGAATATTTTAAAATTTAACATATATCAAACCAAATTCTCACATAATCTAAAAAATGAACAAAAAATTTAAAAGTCCAAATAAGATGAAGGCAAACATCATCATTAATCTTAATCAAAATCTCCCTCATTATCATCCATAAATAAAATATTAAAACCCTTAGATGTAGGTCCACTTGTAAAAGATGAAGGCGGAGGCTCAATATTAATTATTTCTGCAGCTTCTTCACCTATAATAATTATTAATTAAATTGTTTTATTATCAAATATATATCTATACATATATCACAAGATAAAATATAAAAATTACTATAAAATGGCACAAAACAATTCAACCAATTGCTGGTACAAAATACAAATTCATGTTTATACATTATCTGAAAAGAAGTGAAAACAATACTTTGTGAATAGTAAAACGGGCTTCACGGGCTGCCCGGGCCCGACTCCGTTTTTCTAGAGCTTAAAAGGGCCGGGCTTCGAAGCTTGATTACCATAAAAAATGCCAAATTTTTAAGCCTGAACCCTTATTAAAACGGGCTTAAACAGGCGGCCCGTCAAGCCCGACTCTTATTCCGACTCTAGGTTTATTGTTGATATCTCTCTATACTATTTACAAATATAGGTATGAATCATGGTGTGAGCAAAACGAAACAAGTCTCTGTCAGAATACTCTATTCCGGCAACTATATTATCATGTCCAAGAAGAACAAGAAACTCTTCTTCTTCACTTCTCACTACTCTACTCCTTGTCTCTACCATTGTTGGCATTGCTGTCGAAATTAACCCCACAAAAACTCTGGCGATATTCGAGTGTGGCTCACACCATAGTTAAAAAAGCTCACAGTTTCACTATGAACCCTAAACTCTATTTTTCCATTATCATCGTGGAATCCAACTCCACAATGTCACTGACAAATTAAACACCAGGGAAGGGGTTGATGGACGAGTATTAGGAATAAGGGTATTTTGGTAATGCATGTTAAAACTTATTTACAATTACAGCTCATGCAACTTTAGAGTTATGTTTTGTAGGACTTTTTGTTAATGATAATTCCTATGTGGGACCCCTCTGTGATTTTCCCCTAATGTAATTCTTATTTGGACACTTTTTTTCTTAATATGATTTACATTTATATTTTTATAAAATAGGCACAAAATCCAAGAAAATCAGCAATTTACCTCATCCCACTTTTAACTTAGAAGCCATTTTCCATTAATTTCCTCCAAACAAGATGGAAATGATCTAATCTCAGGTTTGAGACAAACTCAATTTAGACCCTCTAATTGAGGTTTAGGCATACAAATAGTAGAGCTCACTTTTTAGATTCTGTACAAAATTTTTTATGCCAGCATAATTATTTCTAAGCCTACTTGATCTTCATGTTTTGTTGTCTTCAGCTTTAGCTGGTATCACTAACTCGAGAAGCATTAAATTATATTTACATATATAAGGTTTAAATTGCAAATTTGCCTTAGAAATATTCAACGAGACAATTGATATTCTTAAGTATTAAAAATAATGCAATATCATCCTATGCTGGTGAAAGGAAGACGTTGACCATTTATTTTGACTAGAAATGCTTATATGGGATGTCGACGTGAAATTGGTCACTTCCACTCCTTCAAGAGATCCACCATTTCATCTCCATTCTAAAACCTTTCTTTCTCATACTGGTTTGTCTTCTCAATCAATACCAACCTTGTTGCCAATGAAACATCTCCAAATATTGACAAAGGGGATGATGGGGTGCTGGGTTGGGATGTGGCAAAAGCCACAACTTTTAAATCTCTTGAGACTCTTTGTTGACGTTAAGTGTAAAGAGATTAGGGTTTTGGAGTTGGTGTCCTCTTCTAAATGAATGGACATTCCTAGTTGCAAGTTGAGGCTTTTGGTGGGGAGGCCCCCCTCCCTTGCAACGTATATCCCCCGGCGTTTAGTTTGCAATAGACATGTGTGTTGGTGCCTCATCATTGGAACCATTGTCATCACTTCAAATTTTAGTAATGTGATTTTATATTTGGATGTTTTTTTCATAAAATTTACTTTAATGTAATTCATGTTTAGAAACTTTTTTCTTAATATTATTTATATTTCTATTAATAACACAGAATCCAAAAATTCAACTTGTTATCTAACCTCACATTTGACCTAAAAGTCATTTCCCATCAAATCTTTCTAAACAAGATGAACATTTGTAATCTCATTTTTGAGCTCCAAACTGAGGTTTGGATATAAACCAAACATATTCTTGATTTAACATAATTCACTCAATAGAAAACATTATTTAGATATATTAATTTATAAAAATGTTAAAAAAAAAATTTACCTTTTCTTAGCTTGGGAATTTTTTAATTTTGAAAGAACACATAATTTTAATCAATATAAATGTTAGTAACATCAATATATATTATAAACTCAAAAAAACTACTATTTGGGGATAAAAATAGTAGAGCTTGTATCTCCAATTCCGTACATACATTTTTATGCCAGCATAATTGTTTCTAAGCCAACTTATTCTTCGGGCTTTGTTGTGTTTAGCTTTACCTAGTTTCACTAACTCGAGGTAGAATAAAGTTAATTAGATATTTAAAACGGTTTAGGGTTTAAATATTCAATGGTGTAATGTCATTCTAATGTTTTTAAAATAATGTAATATCGTCCTATGCTGATGAAAGGAAGACGTTGACTGTTTATTTTGACTAGCAATACTTGTATGGCATGTCCACGTGGAATTGGCTCACTTCTACTCCTTCCAAGAGATCCATCATTTCATCTCCATTCTAAGACATTTCTTTCTCATATTAGCTTAGAGGGCTCAACTATGATGATTCCTTCATCTACGATTCTAGAGGTTCAACTTCTCCTACCGCTATTGCTCTGCCTCCACGTAGTTCTTTTCTCCTTCGAAGGATAGAGAGGCCACAAAAAAAAAAAAAAAGAGATGAATGTCATGCGGCGTACATGTAAGTATAATTAGGTCAACTAATAATCAAACATTAGAAGAATCCGTTAGTGCAGGGCGAAATTTCATTGTTTTTAAAAATGTATATGATATAGCAATATTAAAAAATTAAGGATATTGATTTGGGCTTTGAAAGACAGTTTTGGGAAAAATTTTCACTTTAACTATATATAATATTATAGAGCTATCAAAGTTTTTATATTTTTATTGGCTTGAAAATTTATTGCAGGGTCAAAAATGGTGTAGCTCTTTTTTTTTTTTGGGATTAAGTACCTTGAACGGACCATGTAATTTTTTTTTATAACACTGACCATATAATTTTTATAGCAATGTTAATTGTGAAAATAATGATTTACGTAATTAATTTACATTACAAACATTTTTTATGCAAACGAAATTATCTCAAGCTGACTTGTTCTTCGCATTCTGTTGTATTTATACGGTTTCATTCACTCAATATAAAAAAAAATAATTTCTGGTAAAAAAAATACATAAAAAACATAATTTCGATATAAAAATAAACAAGAAAATGCTCAATTTTCTAACTTTTCGAAACCTGAAATTTTTGGCTTTAAAACATGACGTAAATTTTGGCAAGAAAAAAGATGACGTAATTTTAATCAACATTAATATCAATATAGATTATAAGATTTATCACAAATGCATGCTTATCCAAGAATAACAATAATAATAATAATAATAAATAGCACAACTCTTTTTTTTTCAAAATTCCGTACAATTCTTCTTCTACTGAGTCAACTATGGTAAGCCGCCTTATTCTTCGCGTTTGATAAGCTAGTTTTACCAAGTTTTCCAACTCTTTTTTTGCCTTAAAATTTTCTGACTAGGAAGGAAAGATCACATAATTTTTAATCAATATTAACATTATTTATTCAATACATAGGATAAAAACCCATAGCAAAATTATTATTTATAAGTCAAAATAGTACAACATAGTTTTTGAATTCCGTACAACATACTGCACCATATATTTTTTAAAAAATTTTCCATAAGGACCAAAATGCTTAAGTATTTAGATATAAATTTCAAATTTAGAACCAAAACCTATCATTGAGACATAATATTTTTTTCAGCAAAAATATCAAAAGAAATAGTATTTTTCTATACTCGTCAGAATATGTATTATCAAAAATTTGTGGATGATTATAACATATTGGTACAGAAAAAGAAAGGATGTTTTATTTTATTTTTTCCTAAAAATATATTGTTATTCTGAGACCATGGTCCCTGAAAGTTTTATTTCTACATTTGGGACTTATGCGCTAATATTTGGATCTTTTAGTGCTTGTGGCTGATATTTCTTGTATTTTTCTTAGAAATGTATGCGTGTGAAAATAATATATTTTTTTTTTAAGAAAATAAATAGAAAGCACCCGCCACAAGACTTGGTTTGTATATGCTCCTTGAAATTCTCTTAGTGTGAACAAATTGTATAGTATTTAAATAAATTTCATACATGAGTGTGAGCCATAAATCCATATCCTTCACTCAGTGAATAACACCTAAGCTGTGTGTCGACACCGCCTCTGTGTCTCTCTCTTTATATATATATATATATATATATATCTTTCTCTCTCTCTCTCTCTCCACAAGTCTCTCCCTTCTCAGTGTTAAATTTTTCCCTAAAATCTTTTTCTCTCGTTCTATTGACCCTCCATTGAAACCACAGAATCTTAGGGTATCCCTTTGATCTCTCTTTCTCTCCCCTCACATTTTTTCTTTCCAACCAAACAGCTTCACATCTCTTCTCAACTTTCACACGTTTCTATTCCAGATTTTCTCTCTGGTTTTTTGAAGAATTCTATTGTGATAGTGTGTTTCGTTATTGATTTGGTTCGATCCGTGGAAATGAAGCCGAGGATTTGTGAGTTGTGTAACCAAGAGGCATACCTGTATTGTGACTCTGATTCTGCGTTTCTCTGCTGGAAATGTGATGCCAAGGTTCACGATGCTAATTTTCTAGTTGCTCGACATTTCCGGGAGGTTCTCTGCTGCAATTGTAAGTGTTTCGCTGGAAGACAGGTCTCCGGTAGTGTGCCTCCGTTTGAAATCTCAACCTGTCCGTCTTGCTCGCCCGAGAATCACTCCGATGATGATGAGGACAATGATTGTTTATCCTCATCGTCGATTTCGGCCTGTGTTTCCAGTACCGAGTCCTGTTCTACAGGTCAGAAGAAGATTCAGCGTCGGATGGAGGAGACGGCGGTGTCGTCGAGTTCCGTCACGAACGAGAAGTGCACAGCGGAAGGGAAGAAGGATCCGGGACGGTGCGCGGCGGAGGAGGTTTTCGTGAATTGGAGCAGAAAGTTTGGGGTGAATAGTAATTGTGTGGCGTCGCTGGCGTCGCAAGCGGTGGGAAAACTAATGACGGTGGTTCCGTTTAGAGTAGCGGCGGCGACGTCGTTTTGGTTTGGTCTGAGATATTGCGGTGACGGGCGGTTACGTACGGTTCAGAACCTGAGGAAGTTGGAGGAAATGTCGAAAGTGCCAGGCAAGGTGATCATGGCGGCCGAGGAGAAACTGACACGTGTCCTGAGACCTAAAAGAGCGAGGCGTGACTTCGAGGAAGGCTGGGCCGAGTGTTAACCCTTCGAATCAGATTATCAATATAATATTCTCTCTGTATTTTTTTTTTAATTACTCATAGCATAAAAAGAGATTTGGAAAACGGTTCCCTATTGTCAAGTCTTGATCTCTTTTTTCTTTTCCCATTGTTGTTGATCTAAAAAAAAAAAGTACATTAATTTTGTTGTGTTTTGTTCTATAATCAATCTACTTAGTTTGAGAGATACTTCACCAGCTCAAATCCGTCAAACAAATTAAATTCATGTTATGTCAAATCTAATCCCAAAAGACATTAAACTCTGGCTAACACGTATGGACTCTAATTTCAATCTATTACATCAACAAATTAAAATTAAAATTCATACTATATCTTGCTTCTATAAGATACAACTAAATTATAATTAATACTACTACAAATTGAATCGGATAGTTGAATTTTCAAATGTATGGTGATAAATAATTTTTTGAATAAAACATCATAATAAGTCTCTATATTTTAATTGCGGTTTGTCTTTAATTCTTATAATTTCTTTTTGTAATTGTTTTTGGTTTTTTTAGTTTGATTCATTTACAACGTTAGTGTATTTTTAAAAATACGCATAAGAACTTGACATATTTAATGGAGTTAATTTCGTTGACAGGTTTTTAACCTTTTCGTCTTCGAGTAATTAGGACTTTGGACAAAAATGTTCTCCACAACTCTACCCAAAGCTTTGTTCACCAACTTTTTTTTTAATTTACATATTAACGTTTTTTTCATGATAGCAAAAGGGTTAGCAGAGTCAATGAAATTAACTATGGTCATAAAAATGGGTCATGGTTCTTATGTACTCTTTAAACATTGTAAAAAAACAAACAAACATTGTAGAAAAATCAAATTAAGTTGATTGAAAATAGTGGAATAAAATTATATCAAAACTAAAAACAAAATGCAATCGAAACATAAAGACATGTATATTCTTTATCCGAGAAGACGAGGTTGATCATCGAAGATGCAAGCTTTTTGGGGGAAAATGGACAAATCGATCTGTTTGGGGCAATGGAACCAAACAAAAAACGAAGGGGAAACGAGGAAGGTATTTGGTTGAAGACAAAGACAAAGAGACATTTAAAAAAAGAAAAATTAGTGTTGAATTCAATTTACAAAGTAGAGGATGAATGAAATGTCATCATCAAATGACATTCGTCTCTATTTCGTCTTCTCATTTTTTTTGGTTCAATAAAGACATCCCAACAGTTTATGATTATGCCTGCACGTTTCTAAGCCACTACACTAAGTTTCTATGTTAACTTATCACCTACTTCTTTGGATCCCATGCATACATATATACATATATATATATATATAGAGAGAGAGAGAGCGAGAGAGACTAAAGAGAGAAGAATTTTTTCTTATTTTATTTATAAGTCATATCATTAAATTTTTACTAAAAATTTTAATTTTTATCCTCCATTGGATATTAAAAAAAAAATATATTTTTAAAGTATATATATATATTTAATAGGGGCAAAATTATGAACTTAGTAAATTTTTAAGCAAAGTTAATGAGGCCTAAGATTTTTTTAATATCAATAAAATATATTAAAAATGACTTATAAATAAGATCAGAAAAATACTTACTATCAACATTAGCTAGCGTCTTATTTATACATAGTACAAAACGCTCAATATATAATAAAAATACTTATACAAATAAATTTTAACCCTTATTTTTTCTTATACTTGATTGATATCTAGTTAGATGAGAGGTAATTGGCATCAATTAATGTATAAATAGAGTGATCAGATGTACAATGGTTGATTTGTTGGAGTCAAGTATGTTTAAAGAGTTTACATGTGTGTGTGTGAAATAAAAAGTTTGGATGAGTTTTCATCCACAAAAAAAAAAAGTGAGGATGAGTTGGGCTCACAGAATACTTATAAAGGCACTTATAGTCATTTATTGTCAATAACAATGTCCTCATATAAACCAACAATTTTATAGGTTATGAATTAAATTTTTATTAATTAAATTAACATTTTTTGCTATAAGAGAATTTTTTCAAGGTACTCAAAACTAAGTTGATCATTAAACTAATTGAAGAAGTGATTCAAAGGTTAGTGACCCATGTGATTCAACAAAGGTCAATCTAGTCATAATTAAAATAATGTAATTTAATTAAAATATAAAAAAATTTACATATAACTTTGAAAATGAACAGTACTCCTTCCGTTTTTCTTTGTTAGAGAAACTATTAATTTTTATTTATTTGTTATAAGCAAAATCACATACTTCCTCCGTTTAAAATATAAAGCATTTTTAATAGAATCTCATCCTTCAATAAAATTATTATCTACTTTCAAATTAATCATATTTTTTATATTTACCCTTATTAAATACCATACAATAAATATAAAGTCATTATCAATAGGGGCACTTTTGAAAAAAAATAATAATTACACCTCAAAAGATTAAAAATACCTTACATTTTTTAATATCTAACTCCTCAAAAAATGCGTTATATTTTTGAACAGAAGGAATATCTCAATAAGCATTGATTACAAATTTTTTAAATTACCCCTCGTAATTTACATTAATGACAAACAATTAATGCATGCTTATGTTAATTAATATAGAGTATTTTAGTCTAATTTTTTAATTTTTAAACCTAATTATTATAATTAATCAATTTTTTAAAATTATGTAATACAATTTTTTTATATATAAAAATGGAGGAAGTATATAAATAAAAAGGCAATAATCAACTAGAAATTAAAGCATTCATGTATAAACCATATGTAATTAAATAAGCATAGTTATTAAAGTACAAATTTGACATGATGCTCTTCCACTAGTCATATTTATAAATCACTTTCAACATAGTTCATTGAAATCAAGAAAAACTGTAAATCTCATTAACATTGTTTTAAAGTTTAATAAGTTTTCACCCTTACCATTTAATAAAAACAAAAAAAACTATTTTTAATAATTTTTTTAAAATCTAATAAGGATAAGAAAATGAACATGAACATAAAAAATATTGAAGTATTCTATAAATATGACTAAAATTAATATTCTCTCTCTACCATATAAATATGATTAAAGAAGTATTTGTTATTTTTAACTCAAAACAATGTCATTTCCAGTCCATGAAGAGAAGAAAAGAAAAATCCAACCTAATTGGCATGTCTAAATTTCTTAATTGAACCGATCAGGGACTAATCCACCGGTTCACTGGTTTAACTAAAGGTTGGATTTTAATGCCATGATTTTTTTTTTTTGGGTTATTTGGGACCAATCATTTCTGAAATTCTACGGCTAATTATTGCTATATATATATATATATATATATGGGTAAACTAGGAGTGGTAAAATGAATAGAAGTAGATGCGCGGTGTAAATGAGGTGCTTGAAAGGGGTGGGTGAATGAATAATAATAGAAAAAGGCAAATCTTCATTGTGGTTGCAGTTTAAAGCTTTTCCGAAAGTATCCAATTCCAATATGTGGACATTTGAAAAATAAAAAATAATAATAAAACAAATAATAATAATTAAGGAGATTCTTTTGTGTCCTATGGGGTTATTTAAACCACATATTTCACCTCAATTAATTGATGGCTTAGCTGTCCTGCTTCATTCTTAACCTTATGTTTGGCTTCTTAATATGTATCCTAGACTTGTGGTTATGGACTTGTTAGCCAACAAGTAAACTCTTAACTGTTAATATAAATGGAAATAGATGAGTCACAAAGCTTAAATAATTATTATTCTCTTTTAAATTGCGTGTGGAATACTTGGGAGTTTTTCCAGCCACATATCAAAACGAACAAAATCTCCTCATTTTACACTTGTTAATCATTTAATTTTTGTGTCAAATGTAATAAAGAAGGGCAAAATAATTAATGCTGCACAGGAAAAAAATAATAAAGAAATGGCATATATATATATATATATTGTTTAATCTTAAAATATAAATTCCCTCATATATTGCATTAGTTCCAGTGAGGATAGACATAATGATGGATATATATGGGATATAATTAGTTTATTTTAAATATTTAAGATTATTTTATTATGATCATTTAAATAAAAATATTTAGAATATCTATTAGATTATTTAAGATTTAATTATATTTTTTATTATTATCTTTCTTAAGAATTATTTTTTATTTCATTTATTTTTAATAAAATAAAATATCTAGATAAATATATATTATCTTTGTTATCTTTTAAGATTTAATTATTATAATATTTCTAGGACTTTAAAAATAATCTTAGAGTTTCTCAATTGTATTGAAGTTAGTTTTACATGAATGGAATTGAACATTGAATTGTTTTCTTCTTTTGAGTTTCTCTTTTCTCTTTCATTTCCTCTTCTTTATTATCTTTATGTTTATTTTCTCTCCTCTCCTCCTTTTACACCACATAAATACAAAATAGTGGATTTTTTTGCATGATCCCAATAAATGTCAGAAGTAAAACCCATGATTCATTATTATTTATCTCTCTTCTGATTTCATTTAAAATTATTTCAAGAGATTCATGTCAAAACAGTAAGTGTAAAAAAAGAGGGGGGAAAAATGGAAAGAGAAGTGAATCAAACTTGTGAGAATACTTTCTAATCTCTATTGTTCCTTCTTATCATTGAGGGAAGAGATTATTTGATAGATATAATTTCACTTTGATTTGGCCTTAATCCTTAATGGGTGCTATTTTTTTTATTGATGATAATCTTAATTAGAGAGTAAAGTTGACATGTTTGATTTGCCAAAAACTAAAAAAGTTGAAATACTTGAAGGCAAAAGGAAACAAAATATAATAATAGGGTCTATAAGGAGATGTAAATAAGAAACATGCACAATAATATTTTCCTTTAAACCTAAATTCCTCTAATTAGTAATTGAACAAAAAAAATGAGAAGAGAAGAAGATGAGAGGGAAGTCAAATCCAGCTACAAATATTACCATTCTCACTTCACTTCAGAGGGGGAAAAAAAAATTCACCACCTCTCAATGTTTAATTAAACTTGTGAATCCAAGTCAAACTAATTAACTTTAATTTCACTTGGATTCAAAGTTTTTTGGCATTGATTAGTACTATATTCCCTCCTCTTAACAACATGAGACAATAAAGTCTTAA